GGTAGCTACTTTTCTGTAGTTGTGACAAAACACCATGAACAAGGTGAGCTATAATAGAAGGAAGTCTTTATTGTGGCTTTTGGCTCCAGAGGATTGGAGTCCATAATGGCAGGAAGAAGGCAGAATGCATGGGGCTGGATCAGAAAGCCAAGAGCTCACACCTTGATCTGAAAGCGTGAAGCAGAGCAAAGGACACATAGGCGAGGTGTTTACTCTCACAGGGCACCTCCAGTGACACGCTTCTTCCAGCAGGGTTGTTCTCCTAAACCTTCCCAAACCCTCCTCATGCTGCTACTGACAACTGGGGGCCAAGTGATAAAATGCCCAAGGCTATGGAGGACATTATCTTTTAATTCAGCACATCCAGGCTGGACTTGAACTCATGAAATCCTGGCTCAACCTTCCCAGTGCTGCAAACAGAGATGGATCCACCAGTCCCTGAATCATGAGCATTTTAATAATGATTTTGCAAATTGTTTTCTGTGCTGTTTGCAGATGACACAGACAGTGAGAGTCACAGACTCCAGGATAGAATCCAGTGCTCCTCAGCTGCCTGGGCTTCTTTCCACAGAACACTTCTCTCAAATGTCATATCAGCATCTCTGTCCCCTCACAGAATAAAGAAACTGGACACGGGCATCTGTGGGAGTCACAGAGGCTGTAGAGTCCATGCTTTGTGCTACTAACTGTGCACTGAGGGGAGGGGTGGTCAACGGCCCAGACAGGTCGAGGGCAGAGATCTGGTGTGGACAGTAAAGTGATGAAGATGGGATTCACAGTCAGGAGTCAGGACACAGGGTCTCAGGGATGAGTGTTGGTTCCTTTTGGCAGATCCACATGTTGTCTGAAGCACAGTCTTCAGAAACCACTCTGTCCTTTGAGATGGAGGTACAGCTGTCTTTTTTAGCTTCACCAGTGATTTGTAGTCTGAGAGGAAGAGAACAGCCACTCTTAGTGTTTAGGAATTCCTCATAATTAACTCATCTGTCCTTGTTCTCTTTGGAATTCAAAGGAAACAGTAGGCTGCACAGTTGTTAAGTATAGGAAATACAAACATAGTGATATAGACATTGAAGGTAGAGCTGATTCTAAAACCTACAGTTTCTTCACTGGCAGAGAATCCTTCCAGCAAGATCTTCATAATGAGGCAGAAGATGGAGATGGTGTGAAGGGACAATGACCTCCTCACATCATGTGACCTCCTCAATCCCAGTACTAACACATCGTGTGAAGAACTTTTTTTTTAGTTTCAGTTTTCTTTAATATATAGGGTTGGGGCTGGAGAGATAGTTCAGTGGTTAAGAGCACTGGCTGCTCTGCTCTTGCAAAGGACCTGAGTTCAGTTCCCAGCACACACATGGAGGCTCACAGTGTCTGTAACTCCAGTACCAAGGGATCTGATACCCTCTTCTGGTTTCCATGGACACCAGGCATTCCTGTGGTATACATGCAGACAAACACTTTTATATGTGAACCAAAAATGAATAGTTCTCTCAAAACAGTATAATAGCAGAAAAATCACAAAGTTATATATATATACATATATATATATATATACAGACACATATGTATGTGGTTTAACTAGCTAACACTTGGGGAACTATTTTGTTGTTGTTGTTTTTTCAAGACAGGATTTCTCTGTGGCTTTGGAGGCTGTCTTGGAACTAGCTCTTGTCGACCAGGCTGGTCTCGAACTCACAGAGATCCGCCTGCCTCTGCCTCCCAAGTGCTGAGATTAAAGGTGTGAGCCACCAGCGCCCGGCTTTGAGGAACTATTATATACACAGATGTATGACAAGAGTTACACACAGTAGTTGCTCAATGAATGTATTGAATACACAGTGTGTGTTGAATATGCAAAGGACAGAGTGTTTTCTGAGGACTGTGCTTCAGACAACATGTGGATCTGCCAAAAGGAACCAACACTCGTCCCTGAGACCATGTGTCTCCTGACTGTGACTCCCATCTTCATTACTTAACCATCTACAAGGGGTCTAGATCACAGAATTGGATGCAGAGAGGGAAGGATGCTCAGTTCCTGTGATACGGAGTCACAATTCCTTTCATTCTCCTCCCTTAGGTTGGTAAGTACTTGAGGGACACATGGGTTTCAAACATGCGTGTAAGGGAGCGATGAGTTCTAAGCACACTAGTGAGTCCTAAAAAGACAGTGGCATGTGACAGTGTGCAGGCCTTCATGGAGGGTGTCCTCTCTTTGTTTAGTTCTTAGTGAGCCCTTGGGCTTGGGAGGTGAATGTGATGCCATCCTACTGGTCAGCATACCAGCCCAGCCATGATTTTCCTCTTTTATTTCTTCCATCCTCGGGATCTTCCTTCAGCTTTTCAGATAATTTCCTTAGGGCTGATCTGTTTAAGTCAATGACTTCCTTTCACAATTCCTTTAAGGCTTCCCAGGCCTTTGCATAGAGGATACATGAAAAGTTCTCTAACATTCCTTATTAATTCCAAAAACAATCCTGTGGGGAAACTGTACTCTCTCCTTTCCCTTCCCTGAAGCCAGACTTCCTTGACTGACACTCTCTACTGAGCACAGCAGCCACCAGGCTTACCAATGGATTTTGTCTAATCACAGTGTCATTTATCCTCAGAGTAAAAGGACAGATGAGCCCAGATTAATCCATATGCCTCACATATATTTCTGTACCCCAGTCTTTTTATGCTTAACAATTCTATACTTAATAAACTGCCAGTGCATTTTAAGTAAATGTTTCAGCATTTTAAATTTCAATGTCATGTGTTCTGAATAATGAGAAGTACTTTTTCTTGTAAGATTTGCTTAAATTTATTCAAGGAAGATTAGTAAAAACAATTCTCAATATCATTCCTAAAAAAACTCATAAGAAGAATCATGGTATACAAATTGACTGAGGGCCATGGTAGCGCACGCTTTTAATCCCAGCACTTGGGAGGCAGAAGAGGTGGATCTCTGTGAGTTTGAGCCAGCCTGATCTACAGAGTGAGTTTCAGAACAGCAAGGGCTACACAGAGAAGCCATATCTCGAAAAACAACTACAAAAAGAAATTAGACTGAATTCTACATACTTTGCTTATGAAAAGAATAAATATCCTGTTCTTGTTATACCAAAAATCATGAATTCTGCTACAATATATAACTGAATTCTGAAATGTCATCTCTCTCATTTCACAATTACCACGACAATCTCACACAACAAGACAACGACAACACACCAGAGAGCTAATGGCATTCTTTGTGACTTACACACTTATAGTTTTGGGATCCAGTAACCCAAGAGGTCATGTGAAGGATAGCTGTGACACTGTTGAAAAGAGACTGGATCATGGGTGCTCCATCAAGGAATTAACCCATTGCTAAGTTCCCAGCCAAATAAAATGAGGCCTCCTGAAAAGATGTGGATCATGGGGGGCTTTGAAGGGCAGGTCTGTGCTCCCCATCCCACGCCAGGGGTTGCCATCTCCTCTGCTTCCTGCCCGCTATGAGGTGAGCAGCTTTGCTGTGCCTTTATACAACCACACTTCTGCATTGCCCCAGGGCTACAACAATGGAGCAGGCTGGGGATGGACTTGAGGCCCCTTGAACTGTGAGCCAGAATGATTCTCAAAGGCTGATAATGCCTGTTGTCAACACAGCTCCTCAAACGATTGTAATTTCACAACTCCAGTTACAGTACATTGCAACCTGTCACAATGTGGTCATATCTTCAGCTGACAAAGCTCCCTGCTGACCCTGCTTTTCCTGTCACACTCATTCCACCCCCAATGCTTGTGAGCTGAGAAACTGGCCTCAGGACACACTAGGGCTCATTTTCTCCACAGCATAAAAAGTACCACTTAAGAAATTCTTTGGAAAATATTCAAAGTGTAAGAGGAAAAAAAGAAAACATCTGTGTGTCAAATAGGCATTTTGACTCTTTCCACTTAAGTTAGTCTAGTCCCCAGCCTTAGGAGTCCATTGTATACATACATAAATACATAAATACATACATACATAAATACATACATACATACATGCATGCATGCACACATGTGACCTTAAAAAAGCCTCGTATCATTTCATACATGGAATTGTCAGCCCCCTTTGGAATCCTATATTCCGATGGTTCTGAACCTCTCTAATCTTGGGTATCAGTGTTAGAGCCCTGAGATGACCTGCATGAATATTAAGTTAGCTCCTCCAGTACTCACACATCAGAACTTAAAGTTGAGCCGTTTATCCACCTCCAGTTCTTGTCTGGCCATGTGTGATTCAGTCCAATCCAAAATGCACTGCCTTTTACATTTGCTGAGTCCTTTACGAATCTCTACAACAAAGCAGAGGAGAGGACAGCCTGAGCCTGTGTGCTGAGACTCACATTCCACCAGCTCCTGAAACCTGGGTCACGTGTCACCTGTATCCACCCGAGTCCCCAGCAGAGTTCATTCTTCCTCCTTTGAGGGACCTGTGCCCCAACCTATGATCCCAGGACACGCCCCTCACATGCACAGCTACTGGCTCCCATGTCCCATCTGTCTCACAGACTATGAGCTTCCACAATGTAAATCTCCACTTGCTTTTCATGGAAGAGCTGTGAAGTCTAGAGATGTTGGTGTAGCTTCAAGAGCACGCTAACATTTCTGTTTTATCAAAAAACTTACCAGTTCCTCTTGGTCTTGAATGAGCAGTAAAGTGGCTCCTTTCATAGCACAGTCAGCTAGACCTTCCTTCCAAATGTTGCTTTCTTGAGAAAAATGTATGCATTTATCTCTGTGTGGAAGCCAGCCTTTTGTGCAGCTTAACTTAGCTGGGCTCTCTGAAGTGAGAAAGAGACATGGTGTATTTTTCTCCCTGTTCTTGCTGTGTGTAGCCAGTTATATACACAGTTGCTTTATTAACACACACTTATAGTGAGAGATCTAACTACACACCTGCGGTGCTGACCCTGCCCAAATGGGTGTTATGTGAGGGTGTGGGATCTGGTCTAGGGTGAGTGACAGGTTTCCTCTCTCTTGCTGTTGGTCAGGTCACGGGGAACAGCCTGGGAGGATCCTTGGAGCTGGAACCTGTGGCAGCCTCCTGTGTAAGTATAATCTCCCCGAATAAACTTCAGCTAACTAAGTCTAGTGAATCTTGATTCCCACAAAATACACACTTTCATTAACACATGCAGGGACAAGATTGCTGTTATGACATATTAAAGAAATACAAGGAATTAATTTTTGTTTCTATTAACTAATCTTAGAAAGTTAACTGTTTGACACATTTGTTAAAAACAAATATCATAGTTGAGTGTTTTTTATTGTGCTAGCATGCTGAGGCAGCATGGCCAAGTGGTTAACATTTCAGCCGTCAAGGTCACACAGTGTCAAAGAAGGTCCCAGCATTACCACCTACCAGACATGAGACCCTTAAGAAGTTTTTATGCAGTATTCTAACATAAGACCATGGTACTGTAGTGTCTTCATGGGTAAGTGTTTTAAGCATTGGCTGATGTAAGCCACAGTAAAAAGCAAATGTCAGCTGTTATTCTTGGGAAAGTCAGGCTGCAAAAATTACCTGTTGGATTAGTGATGTTCTCTTGAATGCACTCTCTGCATTTTCCTATTGATGGTTTCTGTATTAAGACTCGCACTAGTAAATAAGAAAACACACAGGGAGGATTAAGTGCTGAAATGAAGGGGGAAATCCAGCTATTTCAACAAACCTGAGCATCTGGACTGGGGATGAAGTATCATCAGCTGGAATGAGGAACCAGTTTGGAAACAGAATGTATAAACAAAGAAGAAACACGCAGAACATGTGGATTCTCACCACTGCGAGCCACATATCATCTAATGGCCTTACAGAAACTCTGAGATCACACACACTCACGCCTGAATTCTCATCTTCAGAATGAGTGTCATCACATCCTCCAAGAAAGACAGCTCACTGCCATTGGGGTTTAATAGCCACTCAATAAATTAAAAACTTGAGCCTTTTAGTTATCTTTGTTGTTGTTTTTGTCACAATTAAGGATCTAAGTTTCTGGATAAACTGTGTTGTTGAGTTTTGCAGTCAGCTAAGACCACACACAGACAACAAATTCTCAACACAAACCAGATTTATTAACATGGATGGAGGGGAGAAGGGCTAACTCTGTATTGGACAAAGACAGCAGCAGGTGTTTCTGCAGGAGTGGATTTTTAAGGAGAAAACAGGAAATCTGTGTTAGGATGAGTTGTTAATCCTGATTGGACAGGTTTGCCAGGATAGCCAAAAAATGAATTTGGATTGTTGGATCTCAGTGCTCAGTCTCAGGAATGTTCCATGGACAAATAAGGGAAGGGACCTTGGAGACTAGCTTAAGAATGTAATCTAACAGTTTAGCCAGGAAGAGGAAAGGTGAAAGGGCAAACCTGCAGGTGCCTTACTTGTCATTCTTGGGCCTGAAAGAGAATCCTTCATGTGTGTTAGCTCCTAGTGACTCTCAGAGAAATCCAGAGGTGTCAAAGAAATGAGAAGCTTCTGCCCTGGACATGGGACACTGCCCTGGAACTACTCATGTCATTGACCTTCCCACAGGCTCATGGAGCCCAAAACATGGTAGGAGGCACTGATGTTTAGAGGAACAATTCTGACCCAAAAGTTCTTCTCTCACTTACCTAAAACACTCATCCCAATCAGGGTCAAGAGAAGAAGGAGGAGCCCAGCACAACTGAGTTTCAGGGCCCACCTATGGGAGCGCGGGCACCGACAGGCATCTGTGAAGTTAAACACTTGTTACTTGTCTAAGTTGGTTGAGCACATCTGGAGTAAACATTAAAAATGGTTTGGGTTCATGGACAATTGAATTCAAGTAGAGGGTGGCCTGTGGATGTGAGCCTTTCTCTGCCAACTTCAAGCAGAATTCCATGAGATGAATTCTCCGTTAGGCTCACGAGTTTGCCTTGATAAAGTAGGAATGAAGAATAATGCTATGCATGTACTGGGCACAAAGGAATATTGGGTGAATCAAGCTTGGAAGATGTAAAGATGTGTTGAAACCACTGAGTGCTGTAAAAACTAACAGCACCTCCTGTTTCAGGGAGGGTGTCAAAGCGTTTCTAACGAGGGCCTTCTTTTATTCAAGAGACAGTTTTGATGCTGACTTTTGTGGTAATTGCGACCTTTGGTACTAATGACATATGGTTCTTTTCCTTAACATGGGGTCTCCTTCACTGCAATGTACAATGATCATCTCCAACTTGGATTAAAGCTATGGCATCCAAAGAGTGGCATCTCATGAGTCCACATGGTATTTTCAATATTTCAATTGTATTAGTGCCTTCTATTGGCTGAGTTCTACAGCCTCCTAATGGATGAACTGGAAATGTGGCTAATATAACACTCTATGTACCCATTTACACACACACACACACACACACACAGAGAGAGAGAGAGAGAGAGAGAGAGAGAGAGAGAGAGAGAGAGAGAGAGAGAGAGAGAGAGAGAGAGAGAGAGAGAGAGAGAGAGAGAGAGAGAGAGAGTCCACATCATGACTGTAGCTTTCACGGTATTCTTAGAGTACTCTTACAACTGTTTTTGTTGTGCTCTGTCCTGTTTCTGAGAAAGGGTGGTCCATTAGTTCAGGCTGACCTCAACTCTCTGTGTGGCTGAACATGACCTTGAGCTTCTGATTCTCCTGCATCTACCTCCCAGATGATGGGATTCTAGGTGTGCCCCACCCACAGCTGGGGAAAACAAAGATTTGCCTGTGTTTATCACAAATAACTGTCTCTGAGAAGTCATCCCTCTAGTTAACAAAATCCCCCACTTCCCCCAGACCCTTGAAGAGATACAATGAAGCTTATTGGGTGGTTCTAAGGCTTTTCTGATTAAAAAAATGTTTGTTAACTTCATAGTTTCTGACAAACATCCTCAAAAAGTTGTGGTTCACATTCTTGACACAATACAGAAAGATTAAATTTTCACAGCCATGGTATTAGATAAGGAAGCTCAGTTACACCACCGACTCTCATACTATTCCATGACCATTTTAGACTCCTTTTCTCTCTCTCTCTCTCTCTCTCTCTCTCTCTCTCTCTCTCTCTCTCTCTCTCTCTCTCTCTCTCTCTCTCTCTCTCTCTCTCTCTCTCTCCCTCTCTCTCTCTCTCTCTCTCTCTCTCTCTCTCTCTCTCTCTCTCTCCCTCTCTCTCTCTCTCTGTCTCTCCATCCATCCACATGTCTGTCACTCATGTTTTAAGTCTCTGGGGGACAGGGTGCTTGCTGATTCCACAAATGCTCAGTGCTAGAATACTGTGGAGCTGAGTCATGGTGTTTGTGTTCTGTAGAGAAGTTTGGACCAAGCAAGATGCTTTATAGCGAGTCTCTCTGCTGGAAGTGTTCCTTTCCCTGTAGATATAAAATATCTTTTCTTCAAGGTCTTGTGACTAAAGCTGAAATAATGGCTGCCCAAGTTTCACACTGAGTAAAAGTGCAATGTATGAGCCTTTTATCTCTAAAGTTGTGGCCATTTACACAGGTCAGCACAGACAGTCAACTGCTCATCTTCAAAGCAGCAACTGAAAACTGTAAGAAGAAATCCTAACTCTGGAAGATATTGTAATGCCTAAAGGAGAAGTGAAGCTACTGACCTGGGGGAGGAGATGGAGGTGCTGCACGCTGAGCCCCTGGAGTCCCGGATGCCTTTAAAATCAAGTAGACCCTCGATGTGTCCATTGCAAATAGGAGACATGACACTGAACCTGTGAGCAGGGACAAACTCCAAGTTCTGTGAGGTGAAATGAGCAAAGGGAGGTCCCCTGTGAACACTCAGCTGTGAGTCCACGCCCACCCACACTGGTAGCTGAAGGTTTCTCCATAGTTACTGACCTTGGTGTCTGTGCGGCTCCCACAGTTTACACACTATTGCCTTTTTTCTTTCTTATTATTCCTCACTCATACAATACATCCCAACTACAGCCTCTCCCTCTCTTCCTCCCAGTTCACCCCCACCTTCCTTCTCCCCCAGACCCACTTTTCTTCCATTTCCCTTCAGAAAAAGAGCAGACCTTCCAGGGATATCAACCAAATACAGGATAACAAGATGCAGTAAGACTAGGTACAGATCCTCATATCAAGCCTTGACAAGGCAACCCAGTAGGAGAAAAAGGGTCCCATGAGAAGGCCAAAGAGTCAGAGTCACCCCCAACTCCCACTGTTAGGAGTCCCACAAACACTCCAAGCTGAACTACCAAGGAAAATATGTAGAGGACCTAGTGTAGACCCACACAGGCTCCATGGCTGCTGCTTGAGCTTGTGTGAGCCCCATGAGCCCTGCTTAGTTGATTCTGTGCTCCGTGTTCTCCTGGTGTCCTCTACCCCTCTGGCTCCCACAATCCTTTCTCCCCACCTCTCCTGCAGTTCCTGGAACTCCACCTAACATTTGGCCATGAGTCTCTGCATCTTCTCCCATCACATGTATTTTCTTAATAAAACAATTTGTATCATGTAGTTTCCTTTTATTAACAAAACTCAAGGGAGACCTCTTGTTGTGATTCCTGGAACCAACCATTTTGAGTTATTCTCTAAGGGCAAAGCTCAAGGTGAGTCAAAAGTAATATTCTTCCTCAACTCAAATCTTAGTGACCACTTTCCCCAAATTACCAGCAATTAAGATATACAATATGTATTATGATATTTTGTAAAAATAAACATCAATGTGTGAAGATTCCTAGTTTAGTTGACATGGATTGCAGCTCTAAAATCCTCTGGAAGCACCTGAGCTGTGGAGGAAGCTGTGACGTGTGCAAATGAGGACAAGAGTGTGGGAAACACTCATGACTGACACGATGGGAAGATCAATGAGGAGGGAGCCGCACACGCTGCTCAGCCTTGTTCTGAAGACCCCTGTGGGTGTGACATCACTCACCAGAGTGAAAGGACTTCATCTGTCAGAGCTACAGAGAGAGGAGGATACAGGTCTATGGGATGGGCTAACTCCTCCAAGGATTTCCAGGCCTAGACCCTTAGGGCAGGACTACAAATGCCAGACATTCTCAGATTATAAGTGAATAAAAAAAGTAAAGATTTCCTAAAATCTCTTTCTGTAGTCAGTGTGGAATTGTACCAGGCACTCACATGGCAGTGGCATCAGCGTGCTGGCTGTGAGTTCCTGCAGACAGGAGGTGTGTACTCATTGTATGGGCTCACTCATTCCCCAAGACCACTAATGTCTATAAAGTGAGGGGAAGCCTGTGTGAGGGTCTCACAGCACACCCAAGAGTCTGTGAAACCTCTTCAGCTGTCACTATTTGATGACACTCAATGCCAGGCACAGGCTTCTGCCTTATACTCCATCTATTTATTTGTTTTTTGCACTGTGGATTGAATTGAGGGCCCCTTGAGTTTAAGGCAAGCACTCTCACTAAACAATGTTCTTGGCCCTTGGTGCTTTGCTTAAACTGTAGGTTTTAGCAATTACACAAGATATTCCAGAGTTTTCCATCTTGAGTCATTATTTTTTGCAATCAAACATACAGAATTTGTGAAAATATTCTCAACTCTCAGCACATAGCTTTAGGTGGCAAATGTGTGAATAAACATTGCAATTATTTAGGTGTTTATAACCACCTAGCAACCCGGCAACCAGTGACAACCATAGGGAAGTATTAGAAAAATCAAGAAGTCTGAGGCTCTTAGCAGGAGATTCAAAGGATGCTTTGTGGAGGCTGAGGTTTAACTAAGTTCTGAAGCTGCCCGTGGCTACTAGGAATCCACAATGGCCCTGTGAAACGGAACAGACCTGAGGTGAGATGTTCTTTAACAGATACAGGCAGAAGTGTGAGGTTACCACAAGTGGCCAGAGTTTTATGTGTCTGTGGGCAGCATGCAGTATGCAACAAAGTGGGGTGGTTTTGCCTGGTATGGGATCTGGACCATCATTAAATACCTGCATAATCTTACACAGTAAAAATCCCTATAACCATCGTTGTACATATAGAAATAAGACCCTCTGAGGATTCCTACTTGAAGAACTTATCTAGCTGTGCTAATGAAGCCAAAATGGTACTTTCTCTGCAAAATCTATCAGAATTCAGTTTTGTCTTGATTCTGTCACAGTAAAATATAAGGATAGGTGTAGGCAGAGTTTTTGTAGGGACTGCTAGACACACACACACACACACACAATAATACTTTTTATATGACTAATGATTGTAAGTGATACTGGATTTTATTAGCAATAGTAAGAGTCATACTGAGAATCTCAACAAGAAATAAAGGCAAGCTTTTTTTTTTTGCCCCCAGACAGGGTTTCTCTGTGTAGCCCTGCTGTCCTGGAACTTACTTTGATTCAGAGATCAGCCTACCTCTGCCTCCCAAGTGCTGGGGTTAAAGGCCTGTGCCACCACTTCCTGGAATAAACACAAGTCTTTAATTAAAAGCTGTTTGATATTGAACTCAGTTAATAATGGTAGTTGGGACATGTAGAAAATAGAATAAAAATAATATAAATAGCATCACTCTTGAATGAATCAAAACATGAAAACAAGAGTGCTAAAATAATAATTTGGGCAACAAGGTGAAAATATGAAGCAGAAAGTGGTAATTATGAGGTTAGAGCTTTCACTTCAAACTAGGAAACACAGAGGAAAATGAAACACAGGTAAAATGACTCACCTAGATGAGTACCGTGTTCCATGGGGTGAGTGGTGTAAAGATCTGTACACCTCTGTGTGGGGGGGGGGAGTCTAAAGACTAACTGAAAAGTTGAGGCACCAGCCCATTTTCCTTTCCTTCCTTCTTTTCTTTTTTTCAATACTGTTAAATTCTACTTATCCTGTCTTGTAAAGAAAAATGCCAAACAGGTCTAAATATATTTTGGAAATCAAAAGGCTATTGAAGTTAAAAAGCAGTGCTGTAACTCAGAGAACCTATGGAAAATATGTCTGCTTGTGAAATAATCTTTTTAGAAATTTGACAAATGAACTGCAATAGATTTGTCATGGAAATTTAAAATATTTTGTTGAATTTTTTCATGCTTGAACAGATGATTTTCTCCATTTGTTTGCTTCTAAGAAACAAAGCAGACATTTCAAACATACCTTCTTTTTTCTGCAAAATCCAGAGACTTCAGACAAGTTATTTTATGAAATGTATAAAATCACTTTAAAATTGCCCAGCATTTTTTCATGATGCCTACTAGCTTCTATGGTAAAAATATGTACTATTTTTTCAATAGTAAACAGGCATAGGTCTAAGTCATAATTTTAAGACCTCCAGTCTTCTAAATTGTAAAGATATAATTATCTGACTCACTAGATATTCATGAACATTTTTAATATATATATGTAATTTTTACAAACTTAGGTACATAGTTTATTGGACAGTAATTTAATATCAGTTTTTCTTTTTCTTTATTCTTCTCTCATGCAGTGTATCCCAAATACAGCCTCCCCTCCCTCTCCTCTCCACATCTTACCCCTCCTCTCTTTTTTTTTTTTTTTTTTTTTTTTTTGGTTTTACAAGACAGGGTTTCTCTGTACTGTTTTGGAGACTGTCGGTCCAGCCAGGCCTCGAACTCACAAAGATCCGCCTGCCTCTGCCTCCTGAGTACTAGGATTAAAGGCGTGTGCCACCATCGCCCGGCTCACCCCTCCTCTCTTACCCAGATCCACTGCTTCTCCCTCTCCCTTCAGAAAAGAGCAGGCCTCCCAGTGATATCAGCCAAACATAACAAAACAAAATGCAATAATGCCAGGTACAAACCCTAGTTGATTGGATGAGGCAAACCAGTAGGAGGAAAAGGGTTCATATGGACACCTGTTTTTTGATAAAGAAGTCAGAGATACACACTGGAAAAAAGAAAGCATCTACAACAAATGGTATTGGTCTAGCTGGATGTCTGCATGTAGAAGAATGCAAGTAGATCCATATTTATCGCCTTGCAGAAAACTCAAGTCCAAATGGATCAACATAAAACCAGACACACTGAACCTGATAGAAGACAAAGTGGGGAATAGCCTTGCATGCACTGGCACAGAAGACAATTTTCTAAACAAAACATTGCTAGCACAAGCACTAAGATAATGGGACCTCATGAAACTGAAAAGCTTCTGTAAGGCAAAGGACACTGTCAATAGGACAAAACAGTAGCCTCCAAAATGGTAAAAGATTTTCACCAACGCCACATCCAACAGAGGGCTAATATCCAAGATACATAAAGAATGCAAGAAACTAGATGTAAACAAACCAAACTATCCAATTAAAAACGTGGTATAAGCCAGATGTTCTTGGTACATGCCTTTAATCTCAGCCCATTGGAGGCTGAGGCAAGAAGAGCTCTGTGAGTTCAAGGCCAGCCTGGTCTACAGAATGAGTTCCAAGACAACCTAGGGCTACACAAACCCTGTCTTAAAAACCAAAATAAAAAAGTGGGTGAGGGGTGTATGTACACAGATCCAAACAGAGAATTCTCATTAGAGGAATCTCAAATGACTGAGAAACACTTAAAGAAATGTTCTGCATCTTTAGTAATTCCATCTTACACCTGTCAGAATGGCTAAGATCAGTAACACAAATGATAGTTCATGCTGGTGAGGCTATGGAGCAAGGGCAATACTCCTCCATTGCTCATGGGAGTGCAAACTCATATATCCACTATGGAAATCAATATGGTGGTTCCTCAAAAATTTGGAATTGATCTATCTCAAGACCCAGCTATACCACTCTTGGTATATATACTCAAAAGACACTCCATCCTGCCATAAAGACACTTAAGTATTTAACTATATCCATAGCTGCTTTATTCATAATAGCCAGAAATTGGAAGCAACCCAGATGCCACTCAACCAAAGAATGGATAAAGAAAGTGTAATATATTTACCTAATGAAGCATTATTCAGCTGTTAGAAAAAATGATGTCATGAAATTTGCAGGCAAATAGATGGAACCTGAAAACATTGTTCTGAGCCAGTGAATCCAGACCCCGAAAGACAAGAGTAGATAATTGATGCAGCTCTCCTGTGTCCCGTTCTCTAGGGGGAAACACCGCATACAGGATTCCCTCCTCTCAATGAAGCAGAACAGCACACATTGGGTGTCCTAGCTTGTCTGGGAGGCATGCAGAGCTGGTTCTGTCCTGCCTTCCTTGGATTGCTGATAGGAAGCAGTGTTACTGGTTTTGTTAGAGAACTTGAGATTACAGTCTGTAGCCCAAGAAGCCAGATTTAGCCACCCATCCTTGAGAAGCCAATTTAAACAGCCAAATTAATAGTGTGTTGGGGGGGGTCAGAAAAGGGAGATTTCTTCAACATGGCCACAATGTGAAGAAGAACAGATTAGTGACCCTGCCCCTGCCAAGTTATAGTTTTGGAGCCCAGAGCACAGTGTGTTCCAAGTGCAGTTCCCAGGCAGATTCTAGGGAGAGTAAGACACGAGGAAAAGGGTGGAGGAGTGTCATCATTTAAACTGGACTGACTGGTGAAGCGTTCCCTTGGGTAGAGAACAT